CTTTGTCACCAGCTGGAATAGCCTCAAATACTTTTGCCTCATGACTTCCCGTATCCGCGATTTCGGTGCCTTCTGCTTATTTTATCAAAATAATCAAATCAGTCACTGCGATAAAAATGAAGGAGTAAATTAAAAAGAATAAAGTTTACCTCACGGATATTATCAATTCCGTATTTGATCATAGTGGGTCGTTCCAAACTAAGACCCCATGCGATAACACGAATATCAGGATCAAGTCCCATGGGTTCCAACATTTCCGGGCGAAACATACCAGAATTCCCAATTTCAACCCATTGACCAAGACCTATCAAAGTAAAAATTAAAATAAATTTAGCTTCTGGTAAAAAAGAGATGTTGAGAGATCAGTTTACCGTGATGATAGGAGAAAATTTCCATGCTTGGTTCGGTATATGGATTATAGGCAGGTTTGAAACGAAGATTCTTGACACCTATATTTAAGATAGAAGTGTTAATTTTTTTCCTTGCTATAAAAAGCATTTTCTCATATGAATCAACGCTCACCCATTTTCTCAAAAAATGTATTCATAAACCCGATCAAATCGCCTAACGTTAATCCTTTATCTGCAATCACGCCTTCAACTTGATGAAATTCAGCCAAATGTGTGGCATCCACTGTCTCATTTCGAAATACACGGTCAATAGAAAAATATTTTACTGGTTTGAATTGTTTCTCTTTTGCGAGTTGATAAAGCATATAAGAAGAAACAGCGGTAGTGTGCGTTCGTAATAAAAGTTTTTGAGCTTCTTCAATTTTCCAGTTATAACCGTAACCAATAGATCCATAACCCCCTTCAGAATGAACTTTTTTGACACGTTCAAGATAATTCATAGGAAATTGTGTGCTTGTGGCCGGGTCTATTTAATGGGATCGTCATTTATGTATTTGATGTATTAATGTTAGAGAGTGATGCTCAATTCACCATTTTCGATTGATATGAATACCTTTTAAGAAAAAGGTGTCGTGTGCATCACGTGCAGGATGTTGTTGAGGTTGAAAGAGCGCGTCAAAATTCCAGAAAGAAGATTCAACAAAACGATTAGTTGGCATTTCTTCAAAACTATTTAATAGATAATTTTAAATTTTTCATTAAAAATCTAGTATTTTCCTTTATACATTGCAGCATAATTAGATTAATAGCTTACCCCATTTCGAAAAAAATTTGTCTGAATACTTCGCGTACCTTCATCAACGGATGCAGATGACCTCCCAGTGGAGGTAAACTCACCGCATTAAAATTATATTGTTTGAAATTTGCTTCTTTCCATTTACCACTAATAATAAAATATATTAATATACGTATATTTAATGAATTTTAATATTAATTAACTCGATTAATTCTATGATCGAGAATAAAAAAAATATACTTTTGCAATAACTCAAAAGTCATATCGGTTGTTTGCTTTTCAACCTTTAATGAAAATTTCGATCCTTTCGTGACAGCATATGATGTGATTTTACTGTATCATTTATGTAATGAAGTAATTAATAAGATATTTCTAACTGGAAAAAACCATAAATGAATCGCAAATAGAATCACTACCCACTGTTTATCACACAGTTTTCTTTTTTTTAGTTCATTGAGGACTTTTGGATCAGGATGTGTTCCATTTGATCGGATTTTCTCAAGATCTATTCGAGTTTGATCTATGATCGAGTCAACCTTAATAAATATAAAATGTGATCTACTTATAAACACGCAAGAGAACCGTAAATATATGAACGCAGAATGAATAGACAGTACGTACTGCTCGTAAAAGATTATTTTCGTTTTTTGTTATCCACTTATTTTTGAACGCTTTTCCTTGTCCAATTTTCGCGGCTTCTCCAAGTAAATTCTTTCGTAGAAAAAAAATATCAGCAAAAAAACTTTCTTTTTTTTTTTCAAAGCAAAGAGCATTTTATAGTGTTCGTGCCTGTAACTCTGAAATGGTTATTCCTTTGTCACCAGCTGGAATAGCCTCAAATACTTTTGCCTCATGACTTCCCGTATCCGCGATTTCGGTGCCTTCTGCTGTTAATGTCCAAAGTTCACCTTCAATAGTATCATATTTAACCATCTATATATGTTCAAAAAGAAAGATAATTGTGTTATGATAGCTGGAAATTTAATTGTAAAAATTAATTCTAAAGAAATAATTTACCTCTTTGTCCAATAAGCTGTTTAAAGCACCCAAGATTTTTAAGTAGTCTATACTTTCTCCATTTTCAGTACGAAGTTCTTTAGTATCAGGTATTGAACCTTGTGTGTCGAGAGTAGTCAATACAAGTGTTTGCAATTCTTGAATGGAAGTCATTATTGTTAGTCCCTAAAGTGTAATTATTCAAGAGTAATTTTTGTATTTGATCTATAAAAAAAAATTGTTAAGACGTCATCCCAAAGGATTGACAAATGCCTTAAACACAAGATGTGTTGATGAGGGATGAATCCCAATTCCGTCCTTATCGAGGGGATTGCCAACTATCTCTCCTTTCTTATCAACACAGATTCTACTATCGTGAATTTAGAATATACATGTGTCAATATGACGAGTCATTAAAATTATGGGTTTCTTTTTATTAAATTTTGATTGGATAGAATCCCACTCTTATTTGGTAAAAAAATATTTTTCTATTATGGCAACTTTAGAAAGTATTCGTTATTCGCGAAACCCTCTGAAATTAGAAATTCTTAACCAAATTTTGCTTCCACACCAAACATTATATGAAGCAGCATACACAATTCAAGATGGTTATTCAGCGATAAAACAAATGAAAGTGCGCGGTGCACCTGCTATAGCTATTGTCGCTGCCTTATCTTTGGCGGTAGAGCTACAACGTCGTCGTCCCAGCAACACGAATGGCAATACCAATAGCAATTCAGGAGAAGATGAAAATACCAATGATCATGCATTTAAAGACGTAGAATCTGTTGTAAAATTCATCTTCGATTCTTTAAACTATCTAAAAACTTCACGACCCACTGCTGTAAATTTGTTTCGCGCAGCTGACGATATATGGAAAATTACAAAAGGGTTATCAACGATCGCCGAAGATCCGAACGTAATAATTGATGAGGTAGTTAAAGCAGCCGAGGGATTATATATCGAGGACATACAGAATAATAAAGATCTCGGTGATTTTGGTGCTGAATATATTATAAATCACTCCAAGGAACGACAAAAGAATAAAAAAGTTCAAGTCCTGACGCATTGTAACACTGGGTAATTATATAATAAATGGGAGATTATTATTAATTTATGATTACCGAATGTTTTATCTTATACATGAATTTATAAATAGTTCATTGGCAACCGGAGGTTATGGCACTGCTTTAGGGATTATTCGTTCATTACATTCGAAGCAGCAACTCTCACATGCATATTGCACAGAAACTCGACCATATAATCAAGGATCTAGATTAACAGCTTATGAATTATTACATGAAAAAATTCCTAGCACATTAATTTGTGATTCAATGGTAGCCGCGCTACTTTCTCAGACCACCACCACCACCACCACCACCATCACTACTGACAATAATAATAATCTAGTAGCAATTATCGTAGGAGCTGATAGGGTAGCAAGCAATGGTGATACGGCAAACAAAATTGGGACATTGCAATTAGCGATTACAGCAAAATATTATGGAATAATGTTTATTGTAGCTGCACCTTCCAGCAGCATTGATCTTAATATAAAAAGTGGAAATGAGATTATTATTGAAGAAAGAGCACAAGAAGAAGTTACATTTGTTGGTGGAGTTGATGTTTTATCTGGTGAGATGACTAAAGTTAAAATTGCTCCAGAAAAAGTTCATGTCTGGAACCCCTCTTTTGATGTGACACCCGCGGCATTGATTACTGCAATTGTGACCGAAAAAGGAGTTGCTGAAAAAGTTGACGGCAAAGATGAATTTGATTTGGTTGGATTTTTAGTAGATAAGGGAACGTGATCGATAGGAAAGGAAAGGATTTTGTATTATATCGAAATGTTACTCTATCGAAAAATCTATTATTTCTTTCAAAATAACTGGATTACTTATAGAAAATTTATTTCAAAGTGTACTTTACCCTTTCTTTTAATAAAACAAACCATTTTTGATTTTGTAAAATGATAAACATGTCATTGAATGGAATGAATATAGTAAAATTAGGTTCAAATTGAGAAGAATGCGTGAAATACGCAATAAAGTTACGTTGTCCGAACTTTACCACGTATTCTTTAATCTAGTTCAATTTTTTATGGTCAAAAGAGTAATTCAGGATTCACAATGCAATTTCTTCAATACTGTACAAAGAATTTTTGAAAAAAAAGCAGTTTATTAAAAAAAATAATTATTTTGTAATTTTTGGTCTTTGAAGTTATTAGTCGGTTCGGAATTCCTTTAATGACAATATCAAAAAAATTGCATGAGAATATTAACGTTAATAAATTTAGGGAAGAAAATAAAGAAATCAATAAATGTCTGATATATTCAATATTTATATTTCAATATTATTTGTAAATCCCAGATAAATTCGTGGTTATACGTGGAATCTACGTTAATTTCAAATTCATACTATTCGACATAATTTTTCTTGCAGCTTAAAGTGTATTCCACTTAACAATGGAAGATCCAACAAAAGACTTAGAATATGCGTTCTTCCATGACTCTCAACTATTTCAGCAGAGCATAGAGAGTTGTCAAGTTTCAGAGGTTGGCGGTTTTTTGACGAATTTTGCGAAACGGCCTATTATTTATTAGTCCTTTACCTGAATAGACAATAACATTACTCGAAAAACTGTTAAATGAAGAGAAATTTTATACGGAAGACGGGAAAGGGTCTTATGGATTCTTGCGGACTATTTTTAAGTGTAAGTAGATAATTTTGTTTTTACGCGTCGCGGCGCGTCTTTATTCATGTGGCGCAGTAAGATGTATATCATTAACATAATTGACAAATTTTGACTTTAGTGTTGTCGCCTAATACTGAAAGAGGGGTGGAGCAAAGAGCGGCTATTCTGTCCGCTGTCATTAATTGGTATCATTAGTTTTAGTAATTAAATACCATTATTTTGTATTTTTTAAATTTTTTCCTTTTTCCTTGATATTAGGATAAGCACAAAAGGAAAGGATACTTCTTGTGCATTTGATAAAGGAGTCACAGATATAGTAAATCAATGCATCAATGAGGTAAAAAATCTCTCATTTTTTATCTGCTTAACAATAGAAATATTAATTCCATTGGACAAAAATAAAAAATAAAACAACAGATTAACAATCTCTCCGAAAAAGCATTGATCGATACAACAAACCTGCTCTTTGCGATTCTGCATCGAAAAACATCAATATACGGGAAATTCTTTTCGTTCATTCCACCAATACTCGCATTTTACGAGTCATGTGGTATTGTCACTATAAAAGAGTCGATAGACAATGTTAGAGAGTTCACTGGACCCGAGTACAAAGATTATTTATTGATGCGGATATTGCGGTTGGAGTGGGATAAAGATAATATTCTAAGTATTGTTACTATGTTGCAGGATATTTCGTTGACTGATGAACAGGTGATTTCGATTTATTCTCATTTTTTTCTATTATGTTTTGACTGATGTGATTAGATAGTTTGTTGATGGTGGATTTTTGCCGTTGATTGATTTTGTGATTTGATATCTAGGTTGAATTGGTTGTTGATAAATTATTAAGGTATTTTCCGAGCTATTGAAATATTTTTTATTCTTGTGACTTTTTTTATTCTATAATTAAATTTTTGTTTTTCGTCATGCAGAAATATCGATTCAATAGAATTGGATGAAATACCACCCATAATTTACCAATTATTACTACTATCTCGAAAGGTTATCATAAATATTTAGGTTTATCTACTTGTCTATATCTACCTATCTAACTTTTGAGATTTATGGATTTTCAGGGTCATAAACGAGTTATTATCAACGGAGTTGCTGAGTATTTTAATAAATTGGCTCAAATATTCGAGGAAGATGAAGGATCTGGACAAAAGTAAAAATTAATTTTTTGATTAAATATATCATATATTTTGACTTATTCTCATTTTTTTTATATGTAGAGGAAAAGAACCAGAAGCCTCTTCTTTATCCTCTTTCGTGAATCTCAGCCTTATCGAAGGAACTGTTATCATTCACATTACTTTTGCTGTTAAGCAAGATCAAGTACTACTTGAATATTTTCATTTTATTTTTATTTTTTTTTTTGAGAAGAGTTTCTATGTTAAAGTTCTTTCTTCAATTCGTGTAGGAATTAGGCGCCGAATACATTAAATACGTCAAATCAGGCAAGACTATGTATCTGACACCATTCAACATTGCGTGTCTCTTATCCATTGCAAAAATACATCGGTTCGAAGACACGGTAAAAAATGTTTACTTTTAATGAATTTATTAAAAAATCAATTATTAAAAACTTTATTTCAGGTACTTGATCTCCTGAAAAATATGATAAAAGCTCATTTAAAAAACCGAGAAAAGCTCGAAAACAAAATATGGATGTCAAGTAATCTTAATTAATTATTTTGCTTGCTTTTTTTGTATCATATAACCATCGGAGTCAATACAATTGGTTATCGTCACATTTTATTTTTTAGAACTTTTTCCTAATAATGATGAAGTTTCATTATCGAACATCTTTCAACAAATAATTCAAAAAACATCTTTTGGATGGGATCAAGTTACTCAATGTTTGATGCAACTTGCATTTGTGTTGTTGGATGCGGCTGTGTCTCCATTATCTAGCGGGAAAATAGGTGATATATTTTTTCTTAAAAATTTACTTATAGACGAAAACTTTGTGTTATATTGTTAATTAATATTAATTGCAAACACCAAGGACGGAGAGCAAGATCAAATATGACAGCTAATGACTTGATGACTGAGTTAGCCATTCAGATTTTATTGGAAATGTTCAAGGTAAATTTTTCGAATTTTGAGCGTATCTTAGAATGCACGAGTTGTATTAACATTGACGATTTGTTGTAAGTAGATCCATGACATGGTTCGAGCTGAAATTCTTAACCAAATTCTATCGAGAGTTGTTTCAAAATCATCTAGCATCGGTAATTTCCTTGCATTATTAGAAATTATTGTCAAAAAGGCACCGGATGCTTTGATGAATTACTTATCAAAAGTATATTTAAAAATTCTAATAAGCATACAGTCTGACATCTTCTGTTTTCGTTACCAATGATTATTAACGCTTTTCTATTAAATTATTATAAAGATCAAAGAGGCTTTTGATTATTTATCGTATCTATCAGTCGATATTGCTGATCTTTTACTGAAAGCTGTACAACCCATTATTCTGCTTGATCAATCTTTTCGTGATGGATTGATGCTAGTATTGCGCAAGTGTATGTTTGCAAAGTAAGATTTTTCAAAGATTAACAGAAAATTCGCAAACCATATAATTATATACGCATACTTATACGATTTTCGAAATTTTTAACGTTAGAAATATTGAAGGGCGGCAAATAGCCCTAAAAGGATTCATTCAAATATTAATGATTTTTACTCAAGAGAATGATGATCCGATGATCCTCTCGAATAACTTGACGTCTGATTCTGTTCAAGTGCAAGAATCTAAAGCTCTAAAACTCGAAATTCTAGGTCTGATTGAAATCATAAATGAATACGCTTGATTTTTAATGTTTGTTTTCTCTTGGTTTATAACATGATTTTTCATAATAGGAATTCTGAGAAGGACGTTTAACCAACAGGCTGATATTCGGCTTGTGCTGCATGATGGCTTAATGAGAGTGATGGATTTGTCAGAGACTTTAAATTCTGATATTTTTGAGATATTGCACACGCAGGTGGATTAAACTATCAATATTCTGCAATTCCTAATGCTTATTTTATTAATTAATATTATGAATAGTTTCAACGATACTTTGAAATGGAGACAAGTCTCCATCCAATCCTCCGTCTCGATTTATGTATCGAGAATGTTGCGGGAGAACTCTCTGCAGTTGAACCATTAGGAAATTTAATCCAATGCATAAGTAGATCGGTCACAATATTTTCAGGAAACTGCAATGATGGTTAGTCATTATTAATGAATTATCAAGATATTATAATTAGACTTTATTGAATAGTTTATTTACGAATTCTAATTTTATAAAGGGGAAATGTCGCTTGTGACGAGTCATATGCTTGAATTCAAAAACAATCTTTCGTTACTTATTGAACGTATCTGTTCAGATGATATGATTGATTATCGCGTGGATCCAGCGGCAGAGGGAGCACGTAATAATATTGCTTGTTCGTTATTGATCGGATGTTTTGAGGTATTTTTATTTATTATTTATTATTTACTTTATAATATTGAAATTTGAGTACTTTATTTATTTATGCATTCAAAATAAATAGGCTTTGATCGAGTATGTCTTCTTCTCGAAGCCTCATTCATCTGAATCTTCATCAACGATTTTGAAAATATTCAAGAAATATGCTGACTTAGTAAAAGAAAAAACAATGTTAATCCCTAAAGGTTAATAATAACTGAATAATATCAAACTTACGCAATATTAAATTTAGAATTGACGAATTTGAATGTATTTGTGTGAATCTGTTATTAAATAGGTCGCAAATCAACTATTAATATTGGCGACAATTCCATCCTCAGTTTTCGTTTTATCGGAGAAATATGTAAGTTTACGTTTTGCGATTGCGAGGAAAATGAATCCAACATTGCGAAAACAATACTACGTGGTGATCCTGAGTTTGTAAAATATATTACAACAGTAACGTACGCGAAGATTAAACAGGTTTTGTTTATTTTCTTTATTGAAATAGCTCCCTTTTGGAAAGTCTAACAAATTTAATTATATTTTTTTCCAAGATGCCGACAAATAACGAATCTCAAAATTCTTCGATGTTTTCGTATTGCACTTCGTTGGCTCAAGTATTTATGAACGAATTCATCAACAACATCGATAACAATAATAGCAACAATAATACTGAAATTAACGAAAAAATTAACAAGAAGACTAAGGTTAATTTCATTTCAACGCTTAACTTTTTGAATCTCTTTAAAAATAAATTAAATATACTTTATATACATTTTTATTTCGTACAGAGTAAATCCATCCTCTCGATTGCCATTGAAAGTTTCCATCACTTGACACAAACTGTATCGAATTGTTGGCCGGAGAAGTTATCGGAATATTTGTCTATCGCCTATCCTTCTAGTATTTCTTTGGAGAATACTCCCACCGATCTCGATAGCTGGCTAGGCTTGTATGTCAGGGAGTTTGAGGTGAAATTAGTTTATTATTTCTAGCGTATTTCGTTAATTATTTAATTAACTCTTTTCATCAAATCATTATTTAAAAAATAGCGATTGATCACTTCGTTGATGAAACAATCACCACCTTTAATCTCGGAAACGACAGGCCTCTGCGAGATTATCTCTCTTTTATCCAAGCAGTTCACAAAAAACGTCAATGGTGACGATACGATGCCTGCACAACAACAAAACCTAGAACAATTGATTACCTGGCTTCGAGAATTCTGTATCGAAACTTACGTCGATGATGTCGGACTCACGAAAAGTGCTGTTGGTCTATTAATCAATCTCGAGAAGGATATGATAAATTTCGAATCGGTCACAGAAATGTCTCACGATGCTTTTTTGATGCTGGGGAATATTGAGGATAAATCAGAGGAACAAGAACAGCCAAAGTTTTCTTTTGTTAATATTCGAACTGCGGCGACGATATGTGGTATTATTATTTCTTTCTTGGAGCAAATGTATCAAGATTTAGAAGGATGCATTGATAGAATGAAATCGATGTGTAGTTTTGAAGGTAATTTTTTATTGATTTTTCAAGTATACTATTATAATAATAAATATATATATATTTGTTTATTTAAGACGAAGTGAACGATCCTTCATCATCAGAACATACAAAAATTGAAACAAAAATATCGACCATGATGATTAAACTCATCAATATCTCTATTAACCTTGTGCGCACCAACTTGCCTGAAACATCGTCGGAACATCTGATAAAAAGTCTACAAAGGGCCTACAAAACTCTTCTTGCGTTTACCAAATATGTATGAGCTCTAATATTTTTACTGTACATTTCTGGATTCACTCTGAAATTTACGACTATCCATCTATACTTCTATTTTTAGAAAATATCCGAAGCAGGACCAATCAATAAGCTTTTTATCGAAGTGATTGAATTGGCTGGATCAAACCTTTCCGAATTTTTATACAAAAATCTCACTTTCTCACTTCAAAGTACTGGTATGAGACGAGAAGGAATAGTAAAAAAAGGAAAAGGAAAAGGCACGACTAATTCGAATATGGTGAGTGAGCTAACTTTCGCCTGCCTTTTTTTATTTGATTTAATTGCCCGTCGACAATTTTCTGATTAGATTTTATTTTTATGCAATTAATAAATAAATAGGCACGAGTCGTCCGGGAATCAAAATTGATTCCCAGTTTAATTTTCGTAATTGAATCATTCGAGCGTTATTTACTTCAATTATCAAAGAAATCTAAAGTAACTATATATCTATATTTACCTTTCATTTTTGTAAAGATTTAACAAAACTATCTTTATTAAAATCCAAAGACAGAATTGATGCGATACATTAAACGAGCTACTGCACGAGACTTCAAGCTCCAGATCAATAACAGTCAAGTGGTTGAGCAGCAGCATGAGAACAGTAATGAAGTCGAATCAAATACTACTAAAAAACGGACTAAAAAGGTTTTACTACGAAGAGCACTGTTCATTTTTCATTTAATTAACTTAACAATTTAACGATTAACTATTTAGACTACCTCAAAGAGAAAACACATGGAAGAAATAGGAGAGCAGTCGAATCAAATGGAAGATCATGAACAGGCAATAAAACATATATAATCTTATCTCTGCTTTAGATTACGCGTTTACTGTAGTAATTATGATAATTCTTTATTCGATTTCAGGATACAAATGATAATGCCGGCGAGGGTGGATCACAAGAACGTAAAAGGAGGAAAACACGTAAAACAGAATCATCAACATGAATTAATTACGTTCTGATGTTCATATTAATGTTCGGAAATTTTAAAATACTTTAACATTATGCATCTTGATTAAATTAATTGTTTTTTATGTGATGAGATAATATGATGTCAATGATTCATTGTTATTCTAGTTACATCGCTGCTGATTTTACATGTAAATATAATCTTAGCTAGTTTTGGCCAGCATCAAAGATGCTAGCCTAAAGTTAGACATAATTTCAATTAACATTTTAGGATATGTCATTCTTTATATAGTCATGGTCCGGAACAAAAATATATGTAGCTCAAAAGAAAATTAATACTGATTCGTATTGCTTTATTCAACAATTCCATGAATTTTTTTTGTTTAACTAGTATAGTTTTATTAAAAGATATTTTTTTACTACATAACAAGGCCAAGGCTGAAATTAATGACCGTTGATACACCATGAAATTATGCTTAGATTTCATGTTAAAAATCATGGTTCATGTAATGCTACACGGGATCTTGCATCACGGGGCAGTAATGACGGGATAATAGTAATAGTGTTCTCGGGCCAAAAGGGAGTAGATGTTGGAATACTATTATCACGAACGAGCCACATACAAGAATGTAATAAACAATAGATGAGCAAGGGAGGGGTAAAAAGACAAATTACTTATAAAGATGATTTTATAATAAAAGAAAAGAAGTTTTATTATTTATATTAAAAACTCTATATAATACGAATTGAGTGGAATAATAAAATCCATATATTTTATTAAATAAAAATACTCAAATTGAATAATAAATATTTTTAAGTTCTAAATATTATTGGAAGTTTAATTAAGTAATTCATGAAGAGATTACAATACTGTCAACTAAATCAAATACACCTTCTATTAGTAAAACTAGTAATACATGATAGTTTGGCAAGTGTTTGAATTATGAGATCTAGATCACTAAAAAAATGCAAATATTATTAATAAACCTTCTCTAATCAAATAATCTTCTAGTTTATTCAGGTAATTGATCTGACTAGATAATAATTTTTGATCTAGCAAGCCAAATCTATAAATTGAATAAAATAAAATAATAAAATTGATAGTATAGAAAGAAATTTTATTCAATTTAAATAAAGAATTTACTAATAATGATTCAAAATAGTTGGAATTCATGATTTAAAACAAGTTCAGATAGAATCTTAATTAAAAATAATAATAAGATCAATCAAAATTTATGAAATTAATCTTTAATATAAATTAATTATAAAATAGTAAGTTTTTATAAATAATAAAGATAATAAAAAAAATTTTAATTTTAAAAAGAAAAATAATATCAAGATTTTTATAATAATTAAAATAAAAAAAAGACTAAAAAATTATAAAAATTAATAAGCAGATAATGATTTAGAATCAATATTATTTAAGAAATTATATGATAATGAAGTTTAATTAATCAGATTATTAATATATATAGTCAAATATTTTTATAATTATATCTTTTTATAGTTATCTTTTTTTATGATCATCTTTTTTAAATTTTTCAGTTACTAATTAAAAAACTTTTTTATAATCATATTTTTCTTTAGTTATATAATTTTTGCTTTTTTAAGTATAATAATTATAAAAAGATCTGATTGTATATTTAAAAAAATAATAAAAAGAAATTAAAAGAGACTTATCATATATATTTTTTAATATTTTATAAAAAAACTCTAATCTAATTAAATAAATTAAAAAATTCAAGAATACTTATATTATAAATAATATAAATAAGAAAAAAATATTTAAAATTATATTATTTTATTTAAAAGAATTAATTTATATTGATATAAGAAATTTTAT